GAGATGTGAGTGGTAGCGTCAGAGTCCGCTAGGCCGAGTACTAAAGTACTCAGGGTGCATGGGTAGTAGCAGTTTTACTTCTGGCCACTGTTCATACGCACCCTACCCTGGAATCTCCAACTCACAGGTTCTCCTCTCTTTTCTCTTTTATATTCACTTGGCAGATACTTGTTGAACACTTTGTAGCCACCCCCTCCTCCACAATCAGTTGTTTGTTTGTCTCCTAGCTTCCAGGGTATGAAATCTCCAGAAGTTTCACGTTAAATATTTTGTAATCAGGCACCAAGTGCAGATCTGTTTCAGAAAATGTCTGAATAAGTGAACCACTAAAAGAAAGCTTATGAATATGTAATCATCATCTCTAAGCACTGCAGTTATTTGAATAATTTGTTTTTAATCAGTCCTGTGTAGAAACGTGAACATGTTCCTCCTTCGTTCCATTTTTCTTTAACATGCAGTTAACAGAAATTCAAAACATGCCATTTAAGTTCATAGTTCTAGGAAAAAAAATACGCTTATCTGTTTTCAGCCTCATACTGATAGTTAAGTCACTTAAGTCACTGATAGTTTATATTTTTCCTCTAGATCAAGTGGCTATTTTGATACAGGATTATTTTTTAAAAAGCACTGTTCACCTTCAGGTGAAAATAAGAAAGATAAATAAAGACAAACATATAATACCATATACATTTTTAGAAAGTCAAGCTCTTAATTTTTTAAAATAATCTTTTTGAGATAATTATGGATTTATATGAGATAGTAAGAAATAGTACAGGGAAATCCCATACACCCTTCACCTAGTTTTCCCTAATGATAGCTAGCATCTTATAACTAGTTCAGTAGCCTCAGGGAGTGGATGCTGATAAAATCCACAGGCTTTATTCGGAGCTCTCCAATTTCGCATGCTTTCATTAGTGTCTGTGCGTATGTAGTTCTGTGCAGATTCACAGGCCGCTTACCCAGCAGCACACGTTTCGGTTCCACCCCAAGGATCCCTACATGTCCCTTTATAGACACAGCCACTGTCTCCCTTCCCCTCTTCCTAGAACCTGGCCACCACTTCTCTTCATCTCTAATTTAGTAATTTCAAAAATATTGTATAAATGGAATCATATATACAGCGTCTTCTTTTGAATTGACTTTTTTTTTTTAACTCAGTATAATCCCCTTGAGATAAATTGAGAACTTTTTAAAAGTGATTTGCAAAGAAAGTCTAACCTCTTTCCCACTGGCCGCTTACCTGTCCTTTAGCAAAAACAGGCAGGAATGAGCCCCACAAAGGCACGGGTAGGGGCCTCCCCTCTGTGCCCCGGGACTCACTCTGCTCCTCAGAGATTCTTGGAGAAGTCAGGAGTTCCCCTTTTGATCAGTGTGTTGATCTCTTTGTGAAAAACAGTCATATTTCTTTCAGAGGGCATGGTCCATCTCCATAATCTGTTTTATTTCCAAAGGCAGTTCCAGTTAATCTCATCTTCCATTCCCCCTCTTTCTTTCCTCTTAATTTTTTTCCATCCTGACCTACTCAGAACAAATGGTTGAGTGAATTAAGCTGTAGATAAATTTTCTCCAAATTGATATAATCCAACAAATAGGAATCCCTATCAGTTTGACCGAAAATCTTAAAAAGAACAAATAAACTTGAAATTACGTGCATGAAAGAGCTTCTTTTGTTTCAGTTGTCTTTATAGGAAATGATCCTGGTAGTTCTGCTTCACTGATAGTCTTGTTTTGATTTGTTTTGCCTCCAAAGTAATTATAAAATGTATATCATTCATTTGGATGGTCTAAGTGCCATCCCCTGGGTATGTTATTCCATAATAAGAACTCCATCTCCTACCAAGTCATTCAGAGTCCTGATGACCAGTTTTGTTTTTAGATGAGTATGTATATGAGTATACCACATTTTAAGCTATAAATAAGAGTGTTGTTTGTAACCCACTGTTGATGTGTTGAGAATCCCAGTACCTCACAAGCAGAGATACTTTTAAGGTATTTTATAGTTTGACTTACCTTGGCTTCAAAGAAGAAAAAAGGTCTTTCATTAAAAAGTATTTAAATAATTAATACTTAATCTTTCTAAAGAAACTAGCTCACATTTGTAGAAATTGCTATACGTTTACTGAGAGGAGCTGTAATTAACATTTAATCTGAATAAGCATGATAGATTCTACCTATACTGTGCTTGCTTAGTTGCTCAGTGGTATTCAACTCTTTGCGACCCCGTGGACTGTAGCCCACCAGGCTCCTCTGTCCATGGGAGTTTTCAGGCAGGAACACTGGAGTGGGTTGCCATTTTCTTCTCCAGAGGATCTTCCTGACCCAGGGATGAAACCTACATCTCCTTTGTCTCCTGCATTGCCTTCTTTACCCACTGAGGAAATCCTAACTATACTATAAGAACAATTAACTACTGACCAACCTATATAGCTAGATGTTTGGATGATTGCTTCAAGATTTACTCTACTTTTTTTTTCTCAATTTGTAGCTCAAAGCCACTTTCAAACTGTACCATGAATTATAAACCTAATTTCTGTGGCCATCCAGGTATAAGTGTATAAAGCAGACCAGCATGAGTAAATTGAGAGGATATGTGTCAAGCTGAAAAGTTCATATCCACCTGTAAACATTTAAAACAAAAATTAACTGTGTCAGACACATTTACAGCCCAAAAGTTTTGAACATTCTGATCATCTTGATAAACATAAATTTGTTAGACCATTGATTTTGAAATGTGAGTTTATTAGTGACAGTGATTGTATCAGGTTTAAAATAGGAAAAGCCAAGAACTTCGCAGTATCAGTTAGCATTATGTATTTATGAGGTGGAGGTGTGTATTATTTTTTGTTTAATACATTGTGGATGTCTTTCCACATCAAATCATATAGGTCTGTATCTCATGTCATTTAATGATTGTAGGAAGCTTCCATGATAAGGATGCACTATCATTTATTTTTCCATTTTCTTGCTGATGGATATTAGGGAAAATCTAAAGTATGTGTCAGTGTAACCTTTGCGGAAAATAATGGTTAAGTCCTCCTATTTTCTTCGTTATTTTTAAATACTATAACTTGAATAAAAGCTCAGTAGAAATTAATTTTTAACTTTAAAGTTGATCCCAGGAAATAGTAGGTTCCTATCATTTACATAACTCTTCGGAAGCCTAGATTTAATTATATTTCTTTCTGAGTGAAGCAGCAATGTGGCTGACCCATTTTGAAGGGCATAATTTCTTGGGCATTAATGGCTGAAGGGCCCTTCCGCAGTAGTTTGAAGCTATTAAAAGATTCCTTGTAAGTTCAGAGCAAATAGATATTTGCCCATATTCACACCTACAGAGACAGTGTTGAATAGTTATGTATGTGTGAGAACTAAAATTCACACTGTATTGTGTAGACATTAGACTCCTTGCTTTAGCAGTCACTCATTACTTGTGGGAAAGAAAGAAGGTGGTGCTTTCTTACAACTGAATCATTATTGTAAACTCTTCCTTGAATTTTATTCTAATGGAACTTATGGTTCCTGGATCAAATTACTTCTTTCCAACAGTGTTGTTTCATCAGACCTCTTCCTAGTAAGTTCTTTGGTATAATTTCATTTTAGTTAGGAAAGGCAGCAAAAATTCTCACAGGTCATATCGAAGAGGCTTTTCACCTGAAATGTAGACTTCTTTTTCTTTTATCTTTTGAAATACTTTAAAAATTGAGATAATAGGGTACATAGCAGTTAGAATACAGATTCTAATATGGAACCCGATTCTACTCCATCTGCTGTGAAATCCAGTTACATCCCGTTGAATGCAGAGTTGGGTATGTATAGCATTTTCCTAGAGGAGATATTTTATAATTATCAATACATTTTCAAAGTGGTGATTTTGAGGTACTGGGAATAGCAGTGGCCATGGTGGTGGCAGATAGTAAATGAGTGACCTGGTATCTTGGTGGTGCTGCAGTGGATTCCAGTTTATTCATTGTCATCTTACAGATTTACTGGTTTTTTTTTTTTATAATAATAAAAAGATGTTAGTAACTGAGGAGGAGAACTTGGGTAACCTGGTGCATTGGCAGTCTCTGCTCTGTGTGTAGAGAAACTGGGCTCTGGCTGTACCCTTCTTTTTAAAGAATGTGTTATTTCCTCTCGTATAACAGAGGCCTTACAGGTATAGAAAACCTCACCTATATATCTGTAACTTATAAGGGAGATGAATGAATATTGTGGTTGAAAAAAATTGTTAATTCTGGACAAAGATAAAAATTTTAAAGTGAACATTTTGGAAACTATATTAAGAATGGTATGAGCAAATATATATTGACTTGGAAGTGTAAATCCAGTGGCTCTCAAGAATGTTAATTCTATTGTCCTTCTTAGGTTTTCCCACTGAGGGTGAATCTGTGCTCTTTGTTACACAGAGCTCCACGAAAGTGAATGATCATGTAATTGGGGTGAAAGTAACTACTGTTACTGAATCTTCCAATTAACTCTAATGAAGTTCTTCAAAATTACAGTTTCTGGTTAATTTGTTTAGGTTTGAATGATTTTTATAGGATAAAAAGTTGTATGTAGTTTGTTTTTTCTCTTCCTTTTTTCTAAGAAGCATATTAGCAACTGAATTTTTTTTCCTATTTAGTGATGTGATCTGCAGGGTAACAACTTGTATTAGCTGTTCAGTGGAAAATGTGTATTTTATAGTTAGAGCGATAACCTGTAAAAGTCCAATTCTGAACATTGCTGGAGTAAATTTAAAAGCGTAATGAATTTTGCTTTCCCTTTGTTCATTTATATGGTAAATATATCCTCACACAACACACACGTATTAAATAATGAAAATAAAATCATGTCTCAAATTCCAGACCTTTAAAAAGAATCTTTTCAGAATTTAAGTAAATAAAAAATAGAAAATGGCATTAGTAATAATTGAGAATGTGATTGAAATGAAAAGGCTACGAGTCATTATTTCACTTTAAAATTTTTAAGATTTTAAAAGCATCATTGTCTTCTTTCAGATAAACTTGCGCCTCATCTTGGTAAGCGGGAAAACGAAAGAGTTCCTATTTTCTCCTAATGATTCTGCTTCTGACATCGCAAAGCACGTGTATGACAACTGGCCGATGGGTGAGTGGTGGTTTTCTCTTGAGAATGAATAATGTTGATTCTTTATGCCCTGTCTTGTTTCACAGACATTTTGAAAAAGTTGTAAGTGAAATATAAGAAAACAAGCGAATGATTGAGGGTACAAGGCTTAAAGTTGAAGGGCCTGCTGCATCCCTGCTCGGTTTGGCCTTTCAGCTCCCTCACTGCAGAATGGTAAAGGAGCCTGGGCATCAGGTTGTTGGGTGGCCTTACAGCTATTTTAATGGAAAAGAAAATTATTTTTTAAAGTAAAACACAAGGTAGCCAATAAACACACACACACACACACTTTTGTATCAGTAACTCTCTTTACACCAAAGTACAAAGTAAAAACAAAGAAAAACTATCTTTAACAAATTATATCACATGTTTTTTATTTTTGGTCTATTCTATACACAACCTGCTTAGCGTAGCATTTGACAGAAAATGAATATCTCATTCATGTCACTTCCTTTGTTTTTTGAACTACTACAAGGTCAAGTGAGGTATAAAATCCATTTATGCTTTGCATTTTCAAGCCAGTATCCATGACAGAATTTTGGAGTATATGCGTTTATGTGTGTGTGTGTGTGAGAGAGAGAGAGATCTTTCTCTGGTTCTTTTCCATGTAATAAGACTCATGCCATCCTCAAATGAGTCTTCAGCTTATGTCTTCCTGTGAAGCTAACCCAAGTCATTTTGATCCTCTCAATTGCATGTACCTAGTGATACGAGTGTGCTGATTTCACTAATTTTACTGGACTTCCCTGGTGGCTCAGACGGTAAAGAATCCACCTGCAATGCAGGAGACCTGGATTCGATCCCTAGGTTGGGAAGATCCCCTGGAGAAGGGAAAGGCTACCCACTCCAGTATTCTGGCCTGGAGAATCCCATGGACAGAGGAGCTAGCCAAAACCGTTTGTACTTTTAAAGCACAAGACTTGTGTTAACAAAGAACATGGTGTATACAAAATGAATCAATTAGATCAGTACTGCTCAACCTAAAATAATATTATATGAAACTTTTAGAAGAAACTCTTTAATCCTTATTAACTTCTACACAACCATAAAACTATAACCGATCTACAAAGAAAATGCAAATATAGCTCTAAAACCAGTAATGTTCAAATTAACAACTTTAATGTGCCATGTGGCATATTTTTGCTAAAACCCACTCACTGCTTGCCCCATAAATATGGTACTGTGGAGTATGGCATGCCTCCTCTCCGCTGGCTGTATGAGAACCCAGGTATGTGTGGATTTACCACAGACCCTTCATTCACACAGTGTACCAAATTGTCATTCAGCCTTCACTGACAGGAACGTGTCATTTATGGATTAAGTTGACCTTTTTTCTTTTCTTGTTAACCTCTTAACAATTAAAGAAGTACTGCTTGGCACCAGTACAATCATAAGCTTAAATGCATACATGAGCGCTAAAGTCCCAAGGCTGTTCTTGGTTGTAAGGTAATAATTTGAATTATCTAGATAATCTCATCCAGGTTATCATTAAAATGAAAACACAATCTAAAAATTCTTGACGAGGACTTTGAGACCCAAAGAACCTGTCTTAGGGATTCATAGACCTGAGTTTAAGAAATACTGCTTTAGACAAATACTTTGAAATGACTGGGTCTTTCTTCTCGCTGATAACCAGGGAACAAGTCAACACTAGCTCCTGAATCAGAAAGAGACTGGAGCTAAAGGTCATAGATAAGAAGGAATTTCAGAAGAGCTGAAGTAACTAAACTTAGAATACTGGATCATCTTCAGAGCCAGGCAGGATAGGAAAGTGAGACTGTGAAAAGCGTTTGTAAATGTCTGAGAGTGATGCTGTCTGTTTAGTGGCTGAGTTGTGTCCACCTCTGAGACCATGGACTGCAGCGTGCCGGGCTTCCCTGTCCTTCACTATCTCCCAGCGTTGGCTCAAACTCATGTCCATTGATTCATTGATGCCATCCAACCATCTCTTCCTCTGTTGCCTCCTCCTGCCCTCAGTCTTTGTCAGCATCAGGGTCTTTTCCAGTGAATTGGCTTTTTGCATCAGGTGCCAAAGTATTGAAGCTTCAGCATCAGTCCTTCCAATGAATAGTCAGGACTGATTTCCTTTAGGATGGACTGGTTGGATCTCCTTTCAGCCCAAGGGACTTTCAAGAGTCTTCTCCAAATCCAAAGTTCAAAAGCATCAATTCTTGACACACAGCTTCATCATAGTCCAGCTCTCCCATCCGTATGTGACTACTGGAAAAACCATAGCTTTAACTACAATGGACCTTTGTCAGCGAAGTGATGCCTCTGCTTTTTAATATGCTGTCTAGGATCATCATAGCTTTTCTTCCGAGGAGCAAGTGTCTTTATTTCATGGCTGCAGTCACCATCTGCAGTGATTTTGGAGCCTAAGAAAATGAAGTCTTTCATTGTTTCTATCATTTCCCTATCTATTTGCCATGAAGTTATGGGAGTGGATGCCATGATCTTAGTTATATTTCTCCTGGCATTCTTGATTCCAGCTTGTGCTTCATCCAGCCTGGCATTTTACATGATGTACTCTGCATATAAGTTAAATAGGCAGGGTGGCAGTATATAGCCTTGACTTAAACGCCTTTCCCAATTTGGGACCAGTCTGTTGTTCCATGTCCAGGTTCTCATTCTTTCTTTTTTTCTTTTTTTTTTTTTTTTCATTTATTTTTATTAGTTGGAGGCTAATTACTTTACAGTATTGTATGGGTTTTGTCATACATTGACATGAATCAGCCATGGATTTACATGTATTCCCCATCCCGATCCTCCCTCCCACCTCCCTTTCTACCCAATCCCACTGGATCTTCCCAGTGCACCAGGCCGGAGCACTTGTCTCATGCATCCAACCTGGGCTGGTGATCTGTTTCACCCTAGATAATATGCATGTTTCCATGCTGATCTCTCGAAACATCCCACCCTCGCCTTCTCCCACAGAGTCCAAAGGTATGTTCTGTACATCTGTGTCTCTTTTTCTGTTTTGCATATAGGGTTATCATTACCATCTTTCTAAAGTCCATATATATGTGTTAGTATACTGTATTGGTCTTTATCTTTCTGGCTTACTTCACTCTGTATAATGGGCTCCAGTTTCATCCATCTCATTAGAACTGATT